TTACGGAAGGGGCACATCGAGAACCCGCTGGTAGGTTCCAGAAGGGGGCGTGGTCGGGGCGGAGCCAGCAGGCCACGCTGACAGTATAAGAGGGGCCCCGGGAGGGGACCTCGGGGCTGTCGTTTAGAGTGGGATCCCCGTCGTTGCTGTTGAAGATCGTCGCCATCGTCGCTGTCGTTTCGTCGCCTTCGTCGCTGTCGTCTTCACCTGATATTGCACTGCTAGGGGTAGTTGGCTGTCTTGGTTCAGCACCGTCAGTGTCAGACGGCTAGTGTTGTGAATAGGCTAGCAACTTACGTAGAGTCGTGTATAAACGAGAGAGAGAAGAGTGTGTACCAGCGTCAGGTGTGTATTGTGCAAAGGGTGCTCGATTTAATAATATAACTGCCTCCAAGAACTTGCGTTTCCAAGTCAGTCACTCCATTTGGTGTCAGAAGTGGGGTCCCATCGTGCTGCTGGAGTCTTCGTCTTCATCATCTCGGCGTCGCCAGTCAGGCACTCTGCCAGCTGTCCTGACTGGGAACCGTAGCTACCGAGTGTAAACAGAGTGCCTCCTACTCTTAGTGTCTCTGAGTCAGTCACTACACACGTAACGAACACATTACTGAGTGATACATACACTCAGTAATGTGTGCATTACATCGTTACGTATGGACTGGACTAGTGACACGTAACAATGTGATACACTCCAGTCCACTATGCCCACATTTAGCAATACATTATATCCACCGTGGGTGTAATGGTTATGACACTAGAATTGCAATCTACTGGTCGACGTTTCAATCTCCAGGTACGGCAGTTGAAACAGTGGCAGGTTTCTCTAACCAGTCCGCCGTCCCTGCCTCTGTCCACCCAGCAATAAAGTACAATAAATCATCAGCAGCCATCGCATTGATCTAGCCACTGCTGGATGAAGGGCTCCCCGAGTCTTCGCCATCTCTCCCATCTCTATTTTCTTCTTGAGATGAATAAACCCATAGAGCACAGGAGTTGATTTCATTGCTCCATCTCCATCCCGTCCTTTGGCTGTGACGTGGTCCCTTGTGGACGTGAAGCATCAGTCGTGGGCGGGTATCGAACTCACGTTGTCGGGGTCTGCACCACCGCTGCACTCTCTAAACAGTGCTACTCCTGCTGCTTTTTGTACGCATGTTGAATTTCTTTCACGCCGTACGTAGCCCAACCGTGCTAATCGCATGCAACAAATATAGAACAAAGATCCCCCGTATAGGCTGTAACAGACTGTTGGGGCAAGTGATGTTAGCGAGCACCTATGAATGCCGGAACGGCACACGAGGGGGTGGCTGGCCAACCAACCACGCCCGGCCGCATTTGTCTCCCCAACGGTGATGTTTACACACCGCACCAGGTACTCAACTGAGGCTGAGTCGACCTAGGGGAGGCCCAGGATCGTCACTGGTGTTCGCCGTGAGTGGGAATCGAACTCGGGTCGCCGGGTTCGTAGCGCAGCACGCTAACCGCTACCCACAACCCATTCACACAGACACACAATGGGGTGTGTGGATTGTTAATACATTGCCGGCTTTTCAATTAATGTGGACATTGATTTATAAAGCTTGCCTTGAATAGGACTTGCCCGAGGTCGGCTCATCCTAAAATGAGTGCCAAAGTGATGTCGTTTAACCCAACAATGTGAGACGGAGAAGGGTAGACATTTGTAAGTGGTTCCAAACTAAAACTACTATTAAACTATTTTCATTTTACCAGGTAAGGCCCACTGAGCTATATAGCTCGTGTCAGAAGCGACAAATGATAGCCAAATGGAGTGGCCTATCATCTGGAAATGTATAGCAACCAAATAGTCTAAACGCGTGATGTTGATTCTAAATGTGGAGGGGAAAACCGGAAGACCCAGAGAAAAATCCCTGCGACCACGGGGAGAGAGACACGCAAATCTCAAATATACAGGCGTCGAACCCACGACCTCCTGTATACCAGGCGAGGTAGTTAACATCTCCTAGCCACCAAGGCCCCTCGTGTGCAGTGCCGCCCTTAATGGGTGCTCGCTAACAACAATGGATCTACGTTTTTGAAGCTAACCTGCGTATTTATAGGTAAGATAAACTGCTTTAAAAGGGCAAACACATAACAGTCGACGTTTCTGGAAATGACCCTTTTATAACACAACAGGGCCCGTGTCCGAAACGTCTCCTATTATGTTTTGTTCCTTTGAAGGCCGTTTTATTTCCGAATGTGTTGAGGTTTTGTTATTGTTGAATATTCTTGTGTTGCTTGTGCACAACACTGGCTTAGCGCAGTCTTCTCGCCGAATGATTCGTCACTTTGGGTGCGTGTCTGACTCACAGGCACCCTCTCGTGGTCACAAGGAGTCTGCAATTGTGGTCAGCGTGATAATGATTTAATTCAGGATCTTTGCCGAGAAACATCTGGCACGCTGACCAGCGTTGGTTCAAAGCGGGCCTGACCCTGCCGATGAGACAGTGCCGGATGAAGCTAGTGCGGGTCCCTAAATAAAAAAAAAACGTAAATATTAAAACACAATTTTTTTTACTTGCATAGTAAAGTAATTGTATTTTTTCATTTACTATACAGCCAGATAATACGACAAATCGCTAACCTTAAACACCCAGTCGTTCATAAAAGTCGAAGGCGGTATAGTACTATAGTAATAGAGCAAGTGCAGAATCACTGAAACGGAATTGATAGCTTGAAAGCATTTAGCGCGGGGCCCTTGAAAGTGCGGGGCACGTAGCATTTCTAGCTACTTTTGCTACGAGGATAATCCGGCACTGCGATGAGACAATGTCGTAACCGATCCATTGTTTGCTTGTGTTGAACCAATGCTGGTGTAATGATGCACTCTCTGAATGCCGTGTAGCTGATGGGTTGTGTAAAACAGAGGGAAAGTATGGGAAAGGTGGCGCCTTGCTTATTCAGCGAGCGTAATTCCCAATAGACGCCAAGTAATTACCAAAGCTGTAAAATTGGAAATTGATGAAGAAATTTGCAACAATTCACATTAGGCCATTGTGTCAATCATATCGCGATCTCGTCCGATCTTGTAAGCTCAGCATGTGGGAGCCGACGTCCACCCCTTACATGGAGCCATGCGACGGTTACTTCTGCGACCTGTCGTCTATCCGTCCGTACACTTTAATTTCGGACTCATCCTGGTTAATCTGGATGGACGTCCGGTTGGCGAATACTCACCCTGCTCGTGTATTTGGTCTGGGGCCGGGGGAGGTCGTGGCGCTGTGATGCTCTGACCCTGACCTCATGGTCTGCTCTGCTCGCTTAATATTCCACCCCAGCCCCTCCCGATGTCATGCACGACTCATTGCGGCTGGCCCGGTGATATATAACACATTATCCTGCGGAGGGAGCTGGTAGGAACGTTGGGTTGCTCGGTCAATGGCCTGCAGGGTCAACGGCGACGTGGTGTATTCCGCAAATATGCCCGACGTGAGTAGGTTAAACATTGAGTTTTATAAGGGCACCACGGGGTGACCAGCCCCTCCCCACCCATCCTTCTTCATAGGATTGCACGAATTGAGAGTACAATAACATAGGATCGTTCTTACGCCGGTAATCCTCACTTCCAGCCATGCCCGCAACGGTTACGGACGACAGTATATGGGGTGAAAATTAAGCTCTGCTCACACGTGCCCTCTACTGGAATTTCACGTTGTAATGTGACCTTTTCGTAGCCGCCAGTCGTCACTGTTTTTCGCATCATAAATTCTGGCCGCATTTCACCAGATGCCCCTCTTCCAGCCGACTCGGACCATGGCGCGTTCTGCTGGTGCGAAGTGGCACCGAAGCCCTCTTTCCATTAACACGTCAACGCTCCAGTGTTACCGACTGCACAGTTTTAAACCGATGCATGTGAAGAAGCCAAAATGTACGGAGCTCCACAGTAACGTCATTTATAATTGTTATGGAATTGGAAACATTATCGGCACTATGACCAAATCACCCAGAATACACCACATCCGTTTGGATGGGTGACCACCATGCACAACGAAGTAATTATCGGCTTCACAGGGCAGAGCATCAATTGTACGGTATCTCTATAACCCTGTTCTATGCCACTCAGCTTCAAAGCACTGACCAACGTGGTAAAGTATGGTCAAATAACCCCCACAATTCACACGGCATGGAGGCACTTACTCACCTAGGTTTAACGGGTTATGTATGCAACATATATAATTGATCTGCAAACGCTGTACAGATTGTGAATGTAAGATGTCGACGTTAGTGATATAAACATGGACTTTTATAGTTCCCGAAGGGGATATCCTCTGCATCGTAGACCGTGCCAACGTATGTGAGATAGCAGTCAGCGCTCCTAAACTCTGCAAACAAGGTGGACATGTACAATCACAACTGGCTCAGAAGCTACCATTAAAAAGGATGTGCAAGCAACCCCAATTGTGTATATATCTTACCTAGCAGGGGAAACAACTCATGTCCACTAGGGGCCTGCCCTGCCACTGGGCCATTTTACGGAGCCAAATCCTTTGCTCAGGCTTCCATCTCCACCTGATCAGTGTACGGCAAGGTGACCACAGACACCAAGCGTCAAGGGAAGTTGACTGCATATTGGGCCTGCCGATCGTTTCTCACTTGCCACTGGTCCTGCAGTAGGGCCCAACGCGCTGAACCTAACAATAGGCGGTGGATGTGCCTCCACACAATTGGTGTACACCATGTGTCTGTCAAGCAACAACGGCCGTGGCTCTAAGAGCGAGCCCTCTCAATCTCCCGCAAGAAGTAAGCTGGTGAAAACGGGCCTCTGCATGGCCATAACAAATCAATGATGTAGAGCTGTCCCCTGCGTGAGTGAAGGTGGGGGGTGATCTTCTATAAAAGTCTCTCTTCATGGGCCTGGCGATTACCAGGATGTATATTGTTGGTGAGGACTGCGAGTGAAGTCTGGAAATAAAAAGTGAAACACCGTACACCGCCAATTCCTCACGATACACAAAATAGCAGCGTACACAAACTCCACCACCAGACTAGATATTAAAGTTTATTAAAACCAAACAACAAAAACAAAGCATGGACATTAATGTTAACCATTCTTGTAATGTAGTACTGAAGTTTAGGCGGATCAAAGTGTAGATCAGCAAATGTAGCAACATCATTATTCAACTTCAATATATGCCAGGAAGATTTTTCAAAAACAGTTTCATTGAATGAAATTATTTATCTGGTTTAGGTTGTCTGCCCAATTGAACAATTCTTAATACCAATGAAAGGTCAACATTTTAATCTACAAATGGCAAAGAGTTGAATTAATGGCCACACAGCTTAAGCCTACATTTCTACAGGCCATTTAAAGTTAACTGGATACTTGCAATATTAAATGAGTGATTACAATCCTAACAAAACACCAGTGTACAATGTTCAGTTTTTGAGATGCAATTTCCCAAATTTCTTTTGATGCATTCCATCCATATATAAGCAAGCCAATTATTGAAATCTAAGCCGATGTAAACTAAACTTGGTGTTGAGTTGTAATGATTTATCTGCGTCACCTTATCCAACATCGCCAAAAGTATTCCCACGTGCCACCATGTTCTCAAGGCCATGTACCTTTTGGCTCAACATCAATCAATCCACTCCCCAAGCCGTCACCCATCCCTCGAGGTTGTGATGCAACACTCCAAGCAGCACCTCCTTGATATTTGTTATCGCTACGTCTAACAAGAACTAATTATTATAACCTATACAGACTGCTATTCAAGTGCTGCTGTGCTCTTGTGAGAATGAGGTGTAGAATAAGGGAGGGGTTTGCAACTGGAGGGCCAGAGACATCACTAGGAGCTTTTTAAAAGGTTAAGAGGTCACAGGACGAAGGGACTGCGGTGATTCCGCGTGGCTGTATTGCCCTTCTTGCATTTGCCATGCATTTACAGCCATACAAACAATGCTCACCATGAAATAAAAACCTCATTCTTCACTAGCTAGAAAGAAGGTTCAAAAGAATTTCAACATTCGCTGTGAAAAGCGTAGAAAGCACAGTAATTAGCAACCTCTGCACAAGTGTGATTTTTACTCGTACAACTTTTTGTTTTACTCAACCCAGGGCGCGTCCCTGGGACAGACCACCATGCCGCTCCAACCAGCAGCGACACTCAACATGAAAACTCATGTGCACAAACTTTGCTATTCAGAAAAATCACAACTAAGGAGCACAATTGGAATTTACAAAATAGGGGTAAACGTGGCCAAGTAGTAACATGTGAACAAAATGACATACAAAATGTCTCAATTAAAAAAACCCACTGGACGTAACAGCACATGATACTGCACTGGTGTTGAGAATTGGTGTTTCAACTTGAATTCCTCAGTATCGACCTGGTAAAAGAAATAAAATAAAATACATTAATGGGACAAACACTACACATAATTGGACAGATTAAGTCAAGCAAATACAACGCCAAATAAAATAGCTTGGGACAAAATTGAAAAACCTTCATGCTCCTGCAAAGTGCAAAAGTGGAGTTTTCCATGGCTTCTCAATGGATAAACTGACGTATATGTTAGTTTTGTACAACTTCATAAGACTTGCCATGATTCAGCCATGTCAGATGCACATGTCAGGATAATCAACCGATCCTGCATCCAACACGTTGGACTAACCTGTGTGTGACCAATCAACTAATGGACAAAGGCTTTCCCAAGCCATTACCGTATCAAATTATCCACCAAGCACCTGCACACGAGTTGGCTTTAGCGCTTTAACCCCTTGGTTGAAGTCCTCTCGAATAGGTTCAAGCACTTGCCTGCCACTCCACGATTCTTGACCGTAGGTCATCACTTCGAAGGCCACTTACATTTTTTAAACAGTTAGGATGACTAACCTACGCATGCTCTCCTCCAAGTGTTTCTCTTTCTGTCTCCCAGTGTAATTCCACGCACGTATCTCTCCATGCTTCTTTCAGCAGTTTACAGTTTGGTTCCATTTTCTTTTTAAATCCTTTATATTAAGTTCACTTACTTGCTTGCGCGCTTACGCCTGTGCAAATCTTTCGGTCGTTTTTTAACCCACTTCCCGTGATCCAATCGAGCTGACATTTTGCACACAGACTCGTTGTGCGTGACAATTTATTTTCGTGAAAATTTTATCCCAAAATTTTCCACTTTTTAGGAAAAATTTTTTTTCATATTTAATTTAAAATACCAATGTGATAAAAATGAAACTCTTACTCAAGAAAAACAGAAATGAATAATAAAATAAAACCGATGCCACGCATATAAAGGATTTATAGTGAAAAACTTTGTTTTTACGGGTTAATTTTTTACTTTCGTCCGTTTATAATTCGTGTGATTGTAGGTGGCACATGTCAATTAAAAAAAGTACTCACGCGGGGAATACGAGCGAGAGCGTGAGCGCGAGTGGTAGCCTCCCCCCCGGCCGTAGTACGGAGATGGGGAGCGCTTCCTGGTAACGACGAGAACATCCGTCAGATAATGGCACAAACTACCAACAAAGTTCTCAGACAACACAAATAGTATATTACGTGCAAGGAAAATTATAGTGCTTACAGTTTTTTTATTTTAGTATACCTTAACTATCCAATGTCATTATGAGCTGATATAATGTAGACAATTTTACTGGTCTTGAAAAAGAAGTGATCCTATGTTTACGTGTGCCACCCATGTGCAGTCCTCCGTTCAACTGATCTTAATTTCGTTGGCACGCATTTTGTATTTTAAATAACCAATGATATTCTACGCATGCTAAATAAATCACATGGCTATGAGCCAAAAATTTCAAGGCTGACATGGTTGTTATTTTATTCTATTTACATTCCTAGTTTTTTTTACATATCATGTCATATGGTCAACATTTCCATCTAGAATTCTCAAAGAAGAGAGTGGATCCATCGCAACTTAAATGTGTCCTGCCCAGATTCGAATCCACAACCTCGGCAGTGCTGGCTGAGTGCTCCGAGATTGTATTCACCAGCCTGTCATCAACACCCTGCACCACCCAGTCACCTGTATGTACATGTACAGCTCTTAGTAAATCCCCTGCTAGATGAGGGCCTCCTCCGGCCTTTTGTAGTGGTTATTTGACCATACTCCACTGCACTGCTCAGTGTGTGCTGTCATGAAGGTAGGGAGGTTAGATTGGGAAGCACAAAGGTACTGCAACACGTATGGATTTTGCTGCACTGCTTTTCCCACAGCACAGCATCCAAAGTCCTAACAAGACCATCTTCTGGGTACTTGATCACCCATCCAAACAAAATTCGGGCTATTTTTGTTTGAGGTGCACCTCATTGTATAGCACTTCATAATAACTTCTTGTAATATCTATTCCATTTAAATGTTTGTAAAATTGTATTTGGTTACAAGTCAATAATCTGCACTCAAGCAAAACATTTGGCCAAAAGAATTAAGATTAACAGAGGACTGCACATAGGGAGCACTTTCCTTACCAAACAAAATCCACACTTGCCAACTGCCCTTCTCACTGCCACTGAACACTCATTAAGTGTCGAGGCAGTACCTGTACCGTCCATAGCTGCTGTGGCTGTGCCTGTGGTCGTAGTCCCGCTCCTCGTAGCGATCGTACCCGCCACGATCGTACCCGCCGCGGCTGTGGTACCCGCCGCCGCCTCCGCCGCCGCCACGTTCCCCACGATCGTAGCGATCCCCACGGTCATAGCCTCCACGCTCATGGCCTTCTCTGCGCCTCGGGGGGCTGCGCGCCAAGGGATGTAGAGGCGCGCGAACACAGTCAGGTACATCAGCCAATACACGCAAACCCCCCCTACCCACCCCACTCGGAGCCACTGGAACGGATCTCTGAGAGAGAGCTGTAGATATCCACTTCTACGGGTTGTTCTTACGATGGGTTTACACTCCTCTGGGTGGAGATCTAAAAACGTATTCTTTGTTTCCTGACAAGATGCCGATAGCACAATCAGGATAATATTAGGGCAAAAATATTTTTTTAAGTCATAATAACCATGCTCTCCAGATAATTTTAGGACGTACTTTTCACCTCTATTTTAAAGCAAAAATTTGGCATGCATCTCATTAGCCAGTGGGTGTGCGTGTGACCAGATTTATACACATTTAATGATGCCGGACACAAGTTTGGGGTGTGGCTCACTTTCTGGAGCATCTAAATGGTATATATATAGTATACATATATGACATCTGTGCGAGCTGTGCGCATGGCCAGACAAGGGGCGCAACTCACAAGCTGGGGCGCCCCATGTAGATACCGGGCGTCGGGGTGTGTGCGCGCTTCGTGATGGAGAAGTCGACGCGGATGTTGCGTCCATCCAGCTCCATTCCGTTCACTCGCTCCTTAGCCTTGGGGTAACGATGGAGGGGGGGGGGGGGGAAACGGGACGACCGCGGTTTCATTGCAAAGAACACACATCTGATAGGGGCTCTCGAAATCTAAAACAAAACATTTTTATTCTACCAAGCAAGGCTCGCTAAACTATAGCTTTTTCAGAAGCGACTTGGCTATCACAAATGATAGCTCAACAAAGTGGCTTATTACGTGGAAATTTACAGGAGCCAAATACACTTAATGCACATTGATTCTAAATGTGGAGAGAAAAACAGGAGGGCCCGGAGAAACATCCATACGACCACAGGGAGAATTTGCAAACTCCAAATATACAAGCATCAGGGTCGGGATCGAACCCACGACCTTATGTATTCCAGGCGAGGGGGGTAAGATCTCGCCACCGTGGCGCCCTAAAGCGTTCTATTCCCTCTGTCAAAATATACAACCGTGCTGCGCCGGGGCCACACCAAGTCAGATTTCAACGGCACAAGCAGAGCCACGCCATTCACGTTCCACACAATTAAATAGTTAAGACACGTTGTACACATTGGTGGCGGCGCCGTGTTCTCCGTGTACCATCGGCACGTGCAACTATTGCATCATTTGTCCCACCCATGGCCCTGAACTAGATTGAGATGCCTTTTGAGGCCAGCATATCACGGCTTGTTTTGCGCGCTCAGCACAAAACAGCCAGCGAAAACCCACCCACATCGTGAGCACTCTAGACCGGCTCAACTAGGTTGTACAAACGCTAAAGGGTATGCAATGCAACAATTAGCAGAAAATTAGGAGCAATAGTTCAAGGAGTATAGAAAATATATTTAATCGCAGTCTAGAACTGCACACGTGGGGTGACGATATATTTGCACTGCATAAAGGTGGTCCCAAAATTTCCAATCGTTCAGCAACCAATTACTTCACAAGTACAACAATATGTAAAAGTCCCATCGCACATGTAGTTCATGAGTTATAACCACAACCCATTACTCAATGTTGTTTTAGACAATAACTAAAACATTCTTATGAACAAAGGCAAATCGATTGGAAGCAATTACAGCTATCATTCAAAATAGACTACACACTAACTTCTATTGTTCTGCATGTGCACTTGTTCATCGACTGATGAACATAAAACATAATCTGATAATATTGCTCAACATTGATTGTAATTGACTGAGTGTGCATCGATATTGAGTCACTCTTGAACAGTAATACATTTTTTAAAAACGAACTGGTCTTGTTGCCGTCCCATGGCTTAATGTCTCTAAGGTTGACCAATCATGTCTCGTGTTGATCAATTTCAATGACCAGTCCCCTATGTGCTAGTGTGGAATCAAACAAGCCATTTGTCTTTGCTAATTTATGTTTGCTAATTTGTGTGGATATAAAGATTCTATGATACCGTTACCAAGATCAAGCCACACCGAGGTAACTGGGAAAATAAGGGAAAGAACCTAAAATTATTTAATTACCATACCGTTCCTTCTAGAATGCTTACTGGGTCTAATCTTTCTTTGTACTGAACCAGGAAAGCTCCTATTCGGCGGTATTTGCTGTGCAGCTGATAAGGATAACAAAGAGACAATGAATAATGTGCTATTAATGCATGGCTATTGACTATTCATTAAACTCTTACACTAATCACAGGCCAAGGATACGACCTGACAGAAGACATTTCAGAAGATATATGAAAGATTTATTGGCAAGACCACTGGGTCTTTGCTAATCTATATATGCTAAACACGTATAGTGATAACGGAGTGTGGAAGCGGTGCAGTGGTTAGCATGCCACGCTATGGACCAGACAACCGGAATTCAACACCCAACAGCTTATACCAGTGGGGCGAATGATATCTGAACAGGTCCTACCACACCCCTCCAACGCAAACTGAACCGGCATGGCGAGGCATAATAAAACAATGACATCACGGGCATGGGGACAAAAGGACTGGACGTTACATCCTTTCATTCGTGAGAAAAAGGGAAACGCTCACGGTGTAGCCCTGCAATTGCTTGCTCATACCACTGCTGGTGGAAAGGCCTTGACGAAAGGGAGCTCTCCAGTGCACCGCTCGAGGGTAATTTGCACGATTGTTTCACGCTGACAAGCACGTACAATGATATTAAATTGCAGCGCTCACCTCCTTGGAGTCCTCCATGTTCTGCATGTAGACAAACGCAAAGCCACGCGGGCGGCCCGACTGCTGGTCGTACACCACGTTGACATCAGCCACGGGGCCGTAGCGGCCAAACACCTCGCGCAGATCATGCTCCGTCGTGTACAGGCTCAGGCCAAACACGCCCAGGCACGTGTTGGGCTCCGGGTTTCCCTGTCGGGCGTTATACGCGCACTGCAAACATCCATCGCTGCTCACCGAATGCTACTATCATTCCAGCAGAACTGTAACCTCTGCTGACTTCTGTAAATCCCATTATATCCCAGCTTGCGTCACGCAAGTTAATTTCCAAAGTATATTAATACATCTTTATGATAATTGGTTCTTTACCCTTCTATCTGGCAACAGTTTTGTTGCCAGATAGAAGGGTAAAGAACCAATTATCATATTTTTACTGGCAAATGAGGTCCCCATAGTGTAGAATACATCTTTAATTGAAAGTGATTTTACATTTAAGTGACCGTAAACATATGCCTGTAGTGATTCACTTTCCCCCTACCCTACAACGTTGGTTTCATTTGAAAGATTTGGTGCTGCGATTTGAATAAGAATTTATATCTTTTTTAACATCGTTATAAGTCAGTGCCTCTCGTGGCTGCAGGGGGAACGTGAACTATAATGAATACTAATTGGAAACAATGTGACTAATACATCGTAATAAATTAATTGATAACATGATTAAACTTCCAAGGCTTATAATTATGCATGCAATCATTGTTTAAAATAAATCATTTAGCTTAAAATCCATTAACATCACAAATGTATTAAGCAATTATTTACAATTTATTAAGACTACATACTCATGATACATGAAGGATAATTGAGAAATACATATTAGACTCTCAACTGTTTCATTAATAGCCACAGGTTAACAAGTATTCCTTGAAAAGGTTAGATATTAAAGAGGACCAAAAATGTCAACGATCATAATATATCCTGTGAACGACATAACCTTGGGTGATAAACAATCCCAGGAATGTGTCAAAATTCCCAAAAAGCAGGACGCTCCTTTAAAAGTCATCAGGAATCAGTGAGGCTTTCCTTGGTTAATGCAACTATAACTCAAAACACTGGTCCCCAGAGAAGAGACTAATACCAGGCCACAAATACAATTCTGAAACCACAGCCCCTCCCGGGAGGCAAGGAGCAAGTTGCCATCCGGTTCCCCTCCGAGTGTCAGGACAGCCGGAGGTGACGTGTCCGGCGCTGCGCATTACCCGGTCTCCCTGGTGCCGGCGACGGTTTGAGAAGGGCGAGTTGGTGAAGCTGCGGCGGCGGCGCGAGTGAGAGCGCGAGCGGTGGCGGCGGCGGGAACGGGAGCGAGAGCGGGAACGAGAGTAGCGCCGGTACGAGCTGTGCCGTGACCTGGAGCGCGACCTGCTGCGTATACGCGCGCGCCCACACAATTAAAATCGACGACAAACAACAATGTCATTGCGGCGCTTGCGCCAGGCTCGGCGGCATATTGAGGCCAAGTGAATGCCGAGGGACAGTTGGCAGGTCGCAGGCAGACCCAGTTACAGGTTAACCGAGTGAGAAGACAGGCAGATAAACGCAACCGGATACAAAAACACAAAAAAATTATGTATACATATGCCAGTAACATGGCAAGATTGTGTGTACCCATGCAAGCTTCCTAAGAAATTATGTTAACGATTTAAAGCTGGTATAGGCATTAAGGGGTGTGTGGCCATACATGCTCATATAAACTGTTTATCGTAAACTAATATACAATCACTATTGGGACTTTAAAAATATTTTGCCAACTAATGGATATAAACGTTTCAATTAAGATTAAATGAAAAGCAATTTTCTCTTCATTGCCAGCATTATGCTAATTCAGATTGTAAAAAGTATTCAAGAATGCACAGGATCCTACAGTTTCACACGTCAACTCACAACTGTCAATACATATCATGGGACTTTTCAAACAAATTATGCAATTCGTAAACATGTGCAACAGTTAAAACAATCTATAAACTCACCTGGATTTGGAACGGGAACGAGATCTGGACTTGGAGCGAGACGCACTTTTGGACCTGCGTGTTGCAGGGCTTCTGCTTTTGGACTTCAAAAGCGAATTCTAACAGCAGAAAGGGAGCAATGTTCAGCGGAGAATGCAGTTTGCACGGGGAAATACAACCAGTGGCTTTAAAGAGAAAAATAATGAGCCCTCGAGTCATGTGCTGATGACAAAACTGCAAACTGTCATAGATGAGTGCATGTTAGCGCTACAGATATCTACGTGGGAACTGTGAAGACAACATTTGGGAGTAGTAGTAGTATGATGCATGCATGCACGCACTACACGGGCAGAGGTTTTGTTCATTACAATTTTACAAGTTAGCATTATTATCATGGTGTCAATAATCCAACATGCCCGCGGGTTTTGCATTTGTCGTATCGCATGAATGTGCCTTACCAATGCACCAGTTTCTTCACATGTTCACGCAATGACAACATTCACATTCTTCACGCCTGATTACCGTACCATGCATCTGCTTCTATCTGAACCTTCTTTTCTTTTTTTCAAGCTTCAAACTCAATTAACCCTCTGCAAATTCTTTCTCCAATGTTCAATTATTCTAGATGTCAGGATATCTTCCCCAAGCTTGGAAAGCTTTCTTCCAATTCGCCACCGAGATTAACCTTTACAAGAAAAAGAATACCAACAATTTAAATGGTGAGCCAGTAAGGCAGACAAACAGCGTGGTTGACTTTAAACACAGTGCTGCACTGTCATTTATCATTACACTCGCGGGTGATTATTTTAACATTACACCATTTAGATTCACAAACGTCTATATTTGTTCTTTACAAACACATTTCTTCCATATAAGGAAGTCACAAACGGTGCAAGCACACGAACAGTTTCGATACGACTTTACGCATGTCAAAGACTGAAATTTTAATTTACGTTACACAACTATGGCAGAGAGTGAGCATGTTTGTCACTGGCGTAAAGGCCTTTAGGCATGAGTATTTTAGGCGTTTAAGCACTTAGCGTATAAAAATGCAGTAAAAACAGTAAACACGGCTAAAATACACACTTTATACCAACCAGACAAGCATCCTTGAGTCTAACATGCCTGTGCAATAATGCAGTCACTACAGTACTACTTCGCCTCTACTTTGAGTAACAAGTCATTGCGAAGTGAAACCAATGTACAGTACAAGCTGAATATATGCACACCCCTTGGGGCCAAGGGCAGGCGCTGTTTTATGTCGTGTCTTGAATTAATTTCGCATCCTACGTAGCCAGCCGTGCCAATGGGAAGTGCTGTATATCCAAATTGTGTTTGTATCAGAAATTTCCCTTTGCATTCAAGCCCACCAGTTTAACGTACAAATGCGTCGCTTGGTATAATAATTCATATAAGGTGTGCCGATATCCAGTTACTCTTGTATTGTGGATATTGATTTGAACATCTTCAGTAATGGCAAAGCATTTAAAATAATCCTTATTTAAAATGTAACTACACATACAGTTGACTTTGTTGGCATAGAACTGCTGTATCCAGGCTACCTTGGTTTATTATTTACGTCTGTAATTTTTGGTATACTGTATTTAGTAACACCCCCCTTGGGGAGGGGTGAGGTGCAATTGGTTCGCAGTGGACTGGAATAGAACTTCTATTTATTACGATTAAACTGGTCTCAGATTTGAACTGAAAAATAGCTCTAACCTGCTTGGAGGCTGCCAGCATCCATGTAATACAGAAACTAATAAATCCTGATCCAAAAACATGCAACGTCAATTACGAAAAAAACAAGTGTACCATTATTTATAGTCAGTGTTATTCTCCTAACCAAATATACACAATCGTTATTTTCTATGATTTTGCCACAAACAATCTAGCTCATTATCAACCTACTGCTGGACAATTTAACTTCCCACGCCACGTGGGTCGTTGGGATTTTGTTGACCATACTTCACCACGTTTGTCAATTTTGCGGGCTGACGAAAGCGTACACGTGGGAGCAGATCGCAACAATAGATTTGTTGCTGCTCTGCCCTCAACGTTACCCCTCAGTGTGTTTTTAATGCATGGTGGGTCACCCCAATCCGAGCACTATCCGACTAAACCACCCAGAAAGTTTGCCACCTCGTTAGATCGCGGAAGCTAAGCAAACACATCCACAGTTAGCACTCGAGTACAATTTTATAATTTAATAACAAAACTTCCTGGTGAGGTTTTTTTCCGCAACTGACGTAACATGTTTTTGGAAACCCCCCTCCTCCTCCTCCTGCGTACGGCTTGCTCTAACACATTCCACGGTGGGACGAGGTATATATATTATACATTGTTTGGAAATTAATTGTAATTGTCAGCTACGATCAATCAACTACCGAAGATGCCTGAGGCCATCGACGCTGTGATGTAGCAGCCTCCTTGCCTAGCTCTCGAAGCAGGCTTAAACGCGGCCTTCCCGCGCAGCACCTGAGCCCTCATCAACAGCCTGGCTAACGACTCGCTTTCAGTATTTACAACAACAAAACACGTTCACAACGGTATTAATAACAAACTGCGGCAACGATCATTGTAATTTTTCTCAACGTAAAACCGCTCCGTGTTAAAACGCCGTTCAGCCGCACCATGCGGGCCTAGGCTAGAAGGCCTCTGCGCAAGAGCGCGATAAAACAAGAGGGGGGGGGGGAGGCAAAGACAAATAAAAAAAAACTAATCGACGTCGCTACTTTACAAACAAACAAACAACCAAACCGGCGAGACGTGTATGAAAACTCGCGCGTACCCTGGTCTCGAACGTGATGCCATCCTCCGCGTCGCTCATGGTCGAAGCGAGTGACCTGAACGTGAGGGGAGAGAGAAAAACCGCGACGAGAGAGGCGCGCGCGCGACCCCTAAAAAACCCCCGCCAAGTGACCCCGCCCCCCCCGCCCACCAACGAGCGCGCTCATTGGCTCCCGCAACGGGAGGGGGCGGAGCCATCTTTCGAGCCGAGCTGTGATTGGTCCGAGCGTCGATTCGATTCTCTAACCGTCCGTCGATTTTTGGTGTTGGTTTAATCGCGACGATTAATCGGCGATGTTTGTCGATGGAATAATCGACGAACTATTCGAAGATCCCCCCCCCCACCACACCCGCTACCACGTGTCGCCTGTCGCGAGTAAGCCAGCACCCGATGATGAAGGCCGGCACTGTGGCAACACGAAGGGGGTGGGTGGCCAGCACCACGCCGCGGCCGTCTTTGTCTCCCCCAGGTGGCGATGTTTACCTACACACCGCACGAGGTGCTCATTTGAGGCTGAGTCGACCTAGGGGAGGTCCAGACCCGGGTAAGATAATAATCGCTCCTGGTGTTGGCCGTAACCGCTACACTACCGCCTCCTCCCCACAACGTCTTTGTCAATGGAACGATTCACCACCAACACTCGCGCCATTCGCCACGAAGTGATGGTGACGTCGCCACGATGCCTGTGCCAGGCTAGGTGCACTTTGAGGCTGCCACGTGAAGTGTCGAAGGCTCGCTGCTGACAGGAGGAGGTCTCGGGACAGACCCAGCAGGTGCCATGGTTTGGCTGACCGGCAGATGCACCACCAGCTGTACCCCCTTACTGTGCCACATTGCTGCGTTTTATCCACCCGGCGTTCCGGTCATTGTTGTGAGCGTCGCTCATCTGCCCTCCATTGTAGCTGGAGGGCGACTGCCTCCAACTGCCCAGCAGCGTCCTTCACGAGCCTCCTCCACTGAGGCCGATCTTGACACTGCTGGTACCAGTCATCGGCAAGTCCACTCAGCTCCACATCCTCCTGTACCACATCACTCCATCTCTTCTCCAGCCCGTGCCCTCTATCCGGCCAAACAGAAGCTGCTTGGGCATGCGGTGGCTGGGCATGCGGGCTACATGGCCCAGCCAACGCAGCCTCACCTGCCGGAGGAGCTCACCGATGGGAATGTGTCCAGATCTTTCAAAGTTTTGTGAGCTTGTCACATAGTGATCCGTCCTGGTTAAACCTTGGATGGATCGTGGGCATGCCAGCCTCAATGTTTCTAACCGGCGCAGAGATTCCATTAGAGGGGGTCCACGTTTCACAAGCGTAGAGAAGGGAGGGAATGACCGTGGCCGAGAAGACCTGAAGCTTCGTGCGGAGCGACAGACCAGGTAGCTTCCACACAGCGTTACGCAACCGATGAAAAGATAATGCCGCTCGTCTGATTCGGAGTTGAGACCTCTGCTGTCAAACCGGAGCCGGTCATGAGCACACTGACCCAGGTGTGGGAAACTCTCCATTCTCTCCACAAGAGCTCCATCACCAATGGGGAGGGGAGGGGAGTTGAGAGGATTTGAGAGGAGTGGAGTTTGTGGTGGCACAAAATACCCAGGCAGGTGCTCAGTTTTGGTGGGGCTGATTGGTAAGACCCACCACCACCAACAACAGTAGGTTGCAGTGAAGTCCGAGGAGGCTTTTGTATTTCGTGAGCCGGCTCTCAGAAACCCACGGTGCTTAATGATTTGAGCTGGCCGGTGTTCTACACGAGATGGGCCAGGGCCAGGCCACGGGCTGGGTGGGATGTGCACGAGAAGAGGCTCAAAGCAATGGGCCCTGAATGTCGGAGCAGAAATGGACACGGCCCCGTTCGCTTTTCTACGTACAAGGAGGAGAAACCCGCGGATGGCTTTCCGCGGTAAAAAGGATGGCGATGTTGTCGAGAGGCTGATGATTTCACAAACGGATGATTTCACACACAAATAATGATGTTTCATATTTCATTAACCGAGAGCGTAGCGGGTTTCGTTCGTCGCTCGTCTTGTTCCATGCCCCTGTGGGGCCGTCCATAAATGACGTCACGCGATTTTGTACGATTTTGACCCCCCCCCCCCCCTCGTCACACGGCGTCACAAAAAGTCAGACCCCCCCTCAAATATGACGTCACAAAGCTCTGCCCCCCCCCCCCAATATAAAACATGCTTCAAATCGCTTTAAACTATTGTCATTGTAGTGCGTATTTAATGTGGCGCTGCACTCTGATGTTGTAGGAGAAAACATTCATCAAAAAATCTATTTAATTAAGTAGAACGTGTTGTCCATTTATTTTAAGTTGCCCATTTTGATGTGACGTCACATTTCTCAAACCCCCCCCTCGTCACACATCGTCACAAATGTCTGACCCCCTCCCCCCCCCCTAGGTGCGTGACGTCATTTATGGACGGCCCGAAGGTTCAAATGTTATTCTCTTATATATTTGCTGCAAAGCTCAACGGCCGGACGCACTTGATAGCAGATCAAATGCTGTGCGGGGATGACTGTCTTTAAAGTAATTGCAGTTGGGAGGACTGATTTAGCCATTGTGGTATCAGAGCGCCTTCAAAAGAACGCGATACGGCTCGTCTGCGTGCGAAATTATCCCAACATGAAATCGGACCCTTCAGCTGTAATTCTCCCTTCACGTATATCCAACAGTGGCCAATTTTAAACGTACGTTCGCAATTGAAATTTCACGTTGCTTAACACCAAAAAGACTGGTTTTAATCTACATATATTCCATTATATTGCTGTATTATTGAGAATTTTATCAGTGTTTTTCTTCTGCATTTTATTTAAATGAAAACAGCTTGGAGGCTAAACTAATTTCGCATTTGGTAAAGTCTTTTATATGTACGGTACTAGTTTGGTTTTGACCATTAGAGCAACATAATTGAGAGAATGTTAACAGATCAAAGCAACACTGAATGAAACCCATTAACTACAAATACTAAAACCCAACAAAATTAAATTATGCGTCTATCATTTAGAATGTGCATATTATGTAAATTTCACTTAATGTACAAAGCTTTATGGAAAAATCTAAAATGATTGCTTTCGTTGGGTACAGGAGCACCAGTGTTCCTGCTCACCCTGGACAAGGTGCGTTAAAAATTGGTATTCAGTTCCGTTTCGTCACCACAAATGTGACCGCGTGGAACGAAGCCCTATCCACTGTTATTTATTTTGGTGAATCGGTCTTGTTCCAAACACTTCCACTTTTTAATCTTTAAAAAAGTTTTGTACCGTCTTCATCTTCGACAGTAACCTCCCCCACCACCCCCATATAGTAGGTTCATGCACCTCGTGCTCCGAGTTCAATTGCCAGCTGGAGCTAACGTGTCGAATTATATCTGAAATCATCCTTGGAAGCCACTCTCACTTCCCCAAACCACTGATCAGTGTGGCAAAGTAGTCAACCCCCGTGACTGACACGGCATAATTCTACCACAGGCCTTTATGTTGAGAACTTTTGTTGAGCATGAAACACACTGCTAGAACTCAGTTCAGCTCCTATTACTGGTAGGAACCTCCTGGTTACACCAGCCTACAGGGGATTATTGTCCGTCCGTCGTGCATCCAAAAATGGGAGGGGTGGGGCTCGGTGAAGAGGGGAGGGTGGGGTGGGGCTGGGTGGGGGGTGGGGCTGGGTTGGGTGGGGCTGGTCACCCCGTGGTGCCCTTATAAAACTCAACGTTTAACCTACTCACGCCGGCTTGTGCCCGCCCTCACAGTCGGCCATATTTGCAGAATACACCACGCCGCTGTTGACTCTGGCCATTAACCGAGCAACCCAACGTCCCTACCAGCTCCCTCTGCAGGAATGTGTTTTCAGGATGCATGCAACTCGTTATATTATGAAAATACTGTATTTGTCTCTGGAGGACCAACCCATGCCCCCCCCCCCCCAACTCTATACCCTGGCCATACCATTGGTACATGTGTGGTCTGTATTAGTTGCTGGAATAATGAAACCACCCTCATTGCGTAGGGACACCAAAGGTCAGAGTGCACGGTTTTCCCATGGGCCTGCCAGTGTCTGCCACTGGCATGGATATCGATTATGGTTGGTGGTTTCCTCTGCTGAATGACAAGATGACACCTATTTATAATATACATGCCACAATATTGCTGTGTAAATTTTATATTAAACCACGTTTTACTTTTCAGTTAAACATTGTATCTGAACACTTCTGCTTCAATGCATGGGACAATTGATAAAGTGCCACTGTTACAGTATATTTTTCATAATATACATTTATTATATATTTAATGTCGTCTTCGTGTAAAAAGTACAAGTCTTCAATGGCAACAATAACACACACGTGTACAAACACTTTAGTGAGACACCGTAACGTGTAAAAACATTGAAAGTATCAAGTCGTTCTCCATTACCAAAAAAATCAAACGAATGAGATAACAAAAATATACAAGTGACTACACTGCATGAACATAAATATAATATTATACTCATTTGTGCCTCCCTGTTCCTACTTTACTTATTGTATTTTTTTGGAATGTTCGTTGTATTGCCCACAGTAACACAACTTCAGTGGAAAGTGTGCCTTATGTAAAGAAAATAAATTAGTTCCCACAGTAAAACATTTTACTTATGCCTCATTTAATTGCATTACACTTATTTTCTACGAAATGCTTTCTAAAGTAATTATCGAAACTTAGTAATAAAATGAAAATAAAGTATAATTGTATTTGTGCAGTTCCTTGTGTAAAGTTTGACTGTAAAAGTACAATCAAAACCTTTTCCAATACTGAATTAAACGTCTTTGAAAAATAATACAGCACTAGAGGGTATCAAACGTTTTCCTGTCAAATACTTAATGAAGGAGTGCCAACACTGTGTACACCCGTTAATATTTCCAAGATCCGATAACCATTGCATATTGCAATACATTGTATTCACGCATCATGTTTACTTTAAACTGAATTTGAATTCTAAGTTGAACAAAAATAGAAACCAATAAAGTACGATGGAGATCGACGAATGTTATCAACCTCAACGGTTTTCTCGAATATATTAATGACCCAGTAGAAATTTTTCTTTCAAGATTAATCTTTATGCCTACAACCGTAAAAAATTATTTGTATATAAAAAA